AAAAAAAAAAAAAAAAAAAAAAAAAAAAAAAAAAGATGACAGTGAGTGCTGGGTAGGACGACTTCTGGGAATGCAGAATGGTGCACTCCCCGAGGGAAGCGGTCTGGCAGTTTCTCAAAAAGTTAAACCTAGAGTTACCAAATGACCCAGCAACTGCACTCCTAGATATATACCCAAGAGACATGAAGACATACGTACAGAAACTTGTACATGAATGTTTACAGCAGCATTATTCATAAGTAGCCAAAAGACGTAAACAACCCGAATATCCATCAGTGGATGGATGAACAAGATGTGGCACATCCATACAAAGAAATATTAATTGGCCATAAAAAGGAACAATTTGGATGAACCTTGAAAACATTATGCTAAGTAGAAGAAGCCGTGGACAGAAAATGGCATATACTGTATGATCCCATTCATATCAAAGTCCAGAATTGGGAAATCTATATTCACAGAAAGTAGATTAGTAGTCGCTTGGGGGCAGGGGGATGGGAGTATGAAGTTGCTTTCTGAGGTGATAAAAATGTTCTAAAAACTGTGGTGATGGTTGCACATACCTGAATATGCCAAAAACCACTGAATTATACACGTGAAATGGGTGAATTGTTTGGTATGGGAATTATATCTCAATAAAGCTATTAAAATATATATATATATATATATATATATATATATATATATATATATATAAAATGGAGAGAGATTCTCAAACTTTACAGTGCATTCAAATCACATGGGTACTTATTAAATTATTTGAAATGTGGATTCCCAGAACCTATCCCAGAGATTCTGAACTGGGTCCAGAACAGGGCCTAAGCATCAGTACTTACACCAAGCACCCCTCAGGATTCTGACGTGATGGCAAAGAGCCACACATCGAGTATACTGTTACACCAGCTCTACTGACGACGCCAAGTGTAGAGGCTTGTTTATACCAACTGTATTTTGGATACAAATGGTAGTTAACGTTTTTTTAAAACGCCCCACCTGCAGTATGTGCTCTTTTAAAGTCAATGAGTATGAGTTAAATTATAAATCTCCCCCCCAAAAGAATATTTGACCTTTTTCTCCAAGCAATTACAGAAGTTACAGATAGTAATAGGATTATTATTGAGTCATTAGGAATTTAATTTCTTCTCCAAACGTTATTATGCCAAGTAAAGCCACAGTGCAGCACAAAATTAAAATCATGGACTTACTATGCTAAGTGAAATAAGTCACAAAAAGAAACAAAAGAAAAATAAATAAAATCATGGACTTAGGAGCCAGGCTGCCTTGGTTTGAATCCCAGCTCTGCCTCCTACTAGCCATGGGGATCTTGAGCCTGAGTTTCCTCATCTCAAAATAAGTATAATACTAGATTTTACCTTACAGAGCTATTGTGAGGATTAAAGAATTTAATATATTTAAAGTGCTTAGAACAGTGCCTAGCATCTAGAAATGCTATATAACTGTTAGCTATTTTTTGCAAGTTCTGTATGTAATAATGGCACTAACCCTGGTTGCCTTGCCCAAGGGTATTTTATGAACACTGGTGCTTCAGCAAGCCAGATCTGACACTCAGATTACCTGCTAATGAGACTTAACTTCCTGAGTATGATATAAAAATGGGAAAGGGTTTTCTATTTATGATTTTGTATCATGAATTCACTCCCTCAGGATGAATTAGGAGATAATGTCCTTTAGGGCATAAAGAATCATTTTAATTCACTAACATGCTACTGCAGATGAGCAGTTATCAGTGTGGTCCACGGACTGCTGGAGCCCCCCCCCGCCCCCCCCAGAGGCTTTCAAGAATTGACAAGGTCATACCTATTTACATTATTAGCATATTAAGATTCTATTTGCCTTTTCCATTGTGTTCACATTGGCACCAATGGAGCAAAAGCAGTAAAAGTGCTAGTGCATTAGCAGATTTCAAAGCAGTGGCACCAACTGCGCTAGCAGTTACCAGGTTCTTCCCCCACTACACAATCACAGTTAGAAAAAGGTTCATTTAAGAAGGTCCTAACAAAGCAGGAAAAACTGACCAATTTTATTATAAGGAAAAGAACCTGCACAACTCTGAGCTGTAGCTACTTTTTTCATGCAACTTGAAAACTCATGACAACCATGGTTTTTCAGATGTGGGCATCTGGCAGACATTGTCTCAAAAGTGAATGAACTGAGCTGTCAATTCAAGGAAAACATATGACAGCATTTGTTGCCACTGATCAAACTTGAGCATTGAAGCAAAAATTAAAGCTTTGGAAAACTTGTATTCCCCACCATGAGCTTGGCAGCTTCCCAATATTTAAAGGTTTTTCTGATGATCAGTGGTAATATTCATGAATGAGATATATATTTTTTGATATTGTATAATAAAAACTTAACTTTTGGAAGACATGTATAACTCAATAAACGAGAATTTTCCAAATGACCAATGCATGGTATTAAATACAAAACCATGCACGGGTAAAAGATCCATTTGAAGTGCAAGGTAAACCAATGGATGTTAATGTATAACACAACCTTTAAAGTTCACTGATATGGTTTTAGATTCCATATTGCAGCTAACTTTTAAGAAATCACAACTTGTTGAGTTTGAGTGTATATTAACATTCACAATTATGCTAATAAAAAAGCTATTAAAATACTCATTTTTGCAACTATGTATCTCTGTGAAGCTGGATCTTCATATACTTCAACCAAAACAACACATATCACTACAGACTGAATGCAGCAGCAGATATGAGAATCCAGCTGTCTTCTATTAACCCAGACATTAAAAAGAGTCACAGAATTTTAAAACAATGCTACTCTTCTCACTAATTTGTTTTGGAAAATATAGTTCTTTTTCATAAAAAAATTTTATGGTCACATGTTATAGGTTTATTATTTACAATGAATTAATAAATGAGCATTTAAAATTTTTCTTACACACATACACACCTCCAAACAAACTTTTTGCAGTCCTCAATAATTTGTCAATGTAACCCCAAATAGCCAAAGCAACCTTGAGCAAAAAGAACGAAGCCGGCAGCATCACGTCCCCTGATTTCAAACTATATACAACTACTGAAGCCCATGCGCCTAGAGCCCGTGCTCCATAACAAGAGAAGCCACTGCAATGAGAAGCCCGTGCACCGAAACGAAGAGTAGCCCCTGCTAACCGCAACTAGAGAAAGCCCACGCGCAGCAACGAAGACCCGACACAGCCAAAAATAAATAAATATTTTTTTAAAAAGGGATGAAAGACTTGAAACCATAAAACTCCTAGAAAAAACATAGGCAAAACGTCCTTGACATCAGTCTTGACGATTTTTGGATCTGACTCCAAAAGCAAAGGAAACAAAAGCAAAAATATACAAGTGGGACTACATGAAACTAAAAAGCTTCTGCACACCAGAGGAAACCATCAACAAAATGAAAAGGCAACCTACTGAATGGTAGAAAAATATTGGCAAATCCTAGATCTGATAAGGGGTTGATATACAAAATATATAAAGAACTCATACAACTCAATAGCAAAACAAAAAACAAACAAAAACAAAAAAACCCACCACAATCTGATTTTAAAATGGGCAGAGGATCTGAACATTCTTCCAAAGAAGATGGCCAACTGGTTACATGAAAAGATGCTCAATGTCATTAATGATCAGGGAAATAAAAATCAAAACCACAATCAGTATCTCTGCATACCTGTCAGAATGGCTATAATCAAAAAAAAAAAAAAAAAGGAAAGAAAGAAGTGTTGGCAAGGATGTGGAGGAAAGGGAATCCTTGAATCCACGTGCACTGCTGGTGGGAATGTAAATTGGTGCAGCCACTACAGAGGTTCCTCAAAAAATTAAAAACAGAACTACCACGATCCAGCAATTTCTCTTCTGCATATTTATCTGAAGAAAGCGAAAACACTAATTCAAAAAGATATATATACCCCCATGTTCACTGAAGCATTATTTACAATAGCCAGGATGCGGGAACAACCCAAGTGTCCACCAATGCATGGATGGATAAAGAAAATGTGATAACACACACACTAGAAATATTCAGCCGTAAAAAGAATGAAATCTCCTGGTAAACCACAATGGAAAAGAATATGAAAAAGAATACATATATGTATAACTGAGTCACTGCTGTACAGCAGAAATTAACAACATTGTAAATCAACTATACTTCAATAAAATTTAAAAAAAAGAAAAAAGAATGAAATCTCGCCATTTGCAAAAATATGGTTGGACCTTGAGGGCATTATGTTGTGAAACAAGTCAACTAGAAAAAGGTAAATACCATATGATCTCACTTATATGTGGAATCTAAAAACAAACAAACCCCAAGCTCACAAATATAGAGAACAGACTAGTGGTTGCCTGAGGTTGGAGGTGGGTGAAATGGGTGAAGAAAGTCAAAAGATACAAACTCACAGTTATAAAATGAATAAGTCATGGGGATCCATGTACAACATGGTGACTATAGTTAATACTGTATTGCATATTTGAAATTAGTTATAAGAATGGATCTTGGGCTTCCCTCGTGGCACAGTGGTTAAGAGTCCGCCTGCCAATGCAGGGGACACGGGTTCGAGCCCTGGTCTGGGAGGATCCCACATGCCGCGGAGTAACTGGGCCCGTGAGCCACAACTACTGAAGCCTGCATGCCTAGAGCCTGTGCTCCGTAGCAGGTGAGGCCACTGCAATGAGAAGCCCTCGCACCCACTCACTGCAACTAGAGAAAGCCCGCATGCAGCAACGAAGACTCCATGCCGCCAAAAACTAAGTAAATAAATAAATAAAATAAATCTATAAAAAAAAAAAGAGAATGTGCCAAGACCTTAAAAAGGAACATAGGTGTTTATTTAGCAGCTTTATTGAGAAAAAAAAAAAAAAAAAAAAAAAAAAAAAAAAAAGAATGGATCTTGAAAGTTCCTACTGCAAGAAAAAAAACTGATAAGCTATGTGTGGTGACACATTAGTTGGACATATTGTGGTGATCATTTTGCAATATATATAAATATCAAATCGTTACACTGTAAACTAAAACGAATATGATGTTATATCAGTTATACCTCAATAAAAACAAACAACAAATAATAATGTAACAGTGTAAAGTGTCCTGATGCCAAAATGTTTAGGAACCACTGCTCTAGATAATACCCTAAACAGTAAATATATTCAAATACAATAGCCAAGTAACTCTATACACGTACACACAGAGTGTGTTAAGGCTGACACGTTTCCCTGGACAATGAGACCTAAGAGTACAAATGAGACTATCCCTATTATTCTGTATTCACTTAATAAAATAGTACTTTGTTATTTTGTGTTGTTTTGGGTTTTTTTTGCTGTATGCGGGCCTCTCACTGTTGTGGCCTCTCCCATTTTGGAGCACAGGCTCCGGACGCGCAGGCCCAGCAGCCATGGCTCACGGGCCCAGCCACTCCACGGCATGTGGGATCTTCCCAGACCGGGGCACGAACTCGTGTCCCCTGCATCGGCAGGCAGACTCTCAACCACTGCGCCACCAGGGAAGCCCAATAAGATAGTACTTTGAAACTCAACCAGGATGATTCTTTATACTATTTCTTTTTTTTTTCTTTCATTTTAATCAACAGAGATGTGATGGAAAGAACACTAAATATCAAGAGAAAAAAAAACAGTACTTTGAACAACAGTCTTTCACCCCTTAGGACTCAGATGTGCACTCTCTCCTTCAGGCTGCCTTGGGTTTAGGGAGTGTAGTTCCTAAGCCTCTGTCACACTACGAAGTGGTGAGAAGGCCCATGGAGCCGAGGAGAAGCACAGTGAGCACGGGGATGTTTGTTAAGAGGCTCTTTCCAGAAAGCTTCAACTGTCTGCCTTCAGAGAAGGAAAGAAAACAAGGCACTAGACTCTGGCCTGGAGTCCCTTGCCCACCTTCCCCATGTTTCTCTACCACTGATGGGGAAGCATTTGGGTCTGGCTTTACAGAAGCCTCCAGGTGTTCCCAATGCCAGTAAAGGTCAGACAGAGCACAGAACTGCTGTCCTGAAGCTAAAAATAATAAAAGGCGAGGAAACTGACTCTCAGATCTAGAAAACAGTGCCCACACTCTGTCTTCAAGGGCCCATTGGTCAGGCTGTGCTTCTCCACTACCCACCCTGCTCCAGTATGACTTTTTTTTTTTTTTCCTTTTCCTGGCTCACTAGTGACTATCCAGAGATGAATAACAAAACAAAACAAAAGACAAGGTAAAACACACAACAGGTTAGTTACTGTATCTATGCTTTCCCTGCCACCCACACTTTGCTTCCATTGGCCAAAAACCGTTCACTATACTTTTCTGTGGGCTTCACAGATGAGCGATTCAAAATCCTACCACTAGTTCCTATGGATGGGATAATTCAGGGAGCAAAGTTTCCAGGAGCCTCCCCACTCCACCGGGTTTGGCATTTTCTGTCCCACCCCCATAAAGACATTTATATGTGAAGCTGGTTGAGCAGAAACGTGACCAAATTGGGGGAGTGACTTTAGCATTCTTCACAATAAGGTTGTATCTCCCCATCACTCCACCCCCTAATCACCATCCAGCACAACACAGGGGTGAAGAGCTGAATTACCATTCTCTATTTTCCTTTGCTAAAATAAAGCCTCTACCTTTGGCTCACAGCAAGTCAAGGCTCAAATACTAGTGACGTGGCTGTTTCATTAGAATAAAAAGTTAATCACTATCTCCAGGCCTCAAGACGCAACTTAAATTTTTTTTTTTTTTTTGGTAAAATAAAGCTAAACTGAGAAACAAATTTCCCTCAAAAGATAATTAAGGGAAAAGAAAGTCTCAATTAAATAGACAAGGAACTTTTCATATCAGAATAGGATGGAAGAGGCGCTCTACTGAAAAATCTAAGAAAAACTTCCAACTGTATGCTTCGTGATTAGAATTAGGAGATGTTTTCTGCAAATACAAAGTGGTTTACTTACAAGGTCCTTCGCAGAATTTCTAACTCGAAAGAAGTAGACTACTAAGGTGGTAGGTAAGAGTTCCCACACAAAGAGGACAACTCCGAATACTATGTATCCGGCATCTCCCAGCTGATTCTTCAAGTCTGCCTGTTGAAAAGAGAAGAAAATAAGAGAGTCGCTAGGTTGAGGGCAGAGGAAATAAGTTTGATTCGATTCTTTCTAACATGACAGAGACTAATAAATCTAATACAGTGTAATTCCCCCAAAAATGTGCATGTTGAAATCAGATACTACGAATGGTCCAGACCTCAGGTGGGGAGTCATTTAAACCAGACAGGATAGATAATTATCTTCTTCAAAATATTCGGAGACAGATACTGCCAATCTCTGATGTTTTATTCCTTCACCCTCCAAGAATCTTCCTTACATCCATATTAAGTCTCTAAGCTGATTTTCTTTTCTTCAACAACTGAGTAATGAGAATGTTCTGTTGCCTTCTCACGATTCTTAAGAGCAGTGTATCATGTGTTATCCTTGGTCTCATCCTTGCGATGAACGTGTCAGTTTTTAAACTTCTCTTCACATTAACCACATCCTATGATTTACCCTCTAAAGCTTTACTGCAGGCTAGATTGTGTAGAAAAAAATTCTGAGTCCAGGATGTTTAGCTGCCAGACCCGTGAGATGGCTGAGTGGATGTGGCGTAGCAGTGCTCTCCTCTCTGTAGGGCAGAGGGAAGGTGTGTGAGGTTGTCTCTGGGCAAGTCGATCAGAAAGGCCATCATTTCAAAGGAAGACTGCACCGACATCAAACCATAGGGGCCAATCCCCTGAACGGAATCCTTCTGCCTTCTCTACTACATCGCGTGTCAAGTACAGTAACCGGAACCAATCAGGCTCTCCTTCGGAAAGATCACTCTCACGCTCTGCATCTCAAATTCTACTTACATGTCTCAGAAGTGCGTTGTGTGTGCTTCTTGCATTCTACATAAATAACCCGCAACTTGGGGCTGTTTTGCTCGCTCCTAGATTATTTTGGTTGCAACACACAGATCTAGATATGTATAAATAAATAGATATCCCCAAAACAACAGAATTGTTTAAATTGTGATATTTTAAGTTCGTTATAATTATAAGCTCTTAGTTGAAAGAAACGTTGAAATAATTATTTTGTCTTAAAACCAAATCTCTGTTGTTTAATGGGGACGGAGTCTCAGTTTGGGAAGATCAAGAAGTTCTGGAGATGGATGGTGGTGATGGCTGCACGACAGTGTCAATGTACTGGATGCCTCTGAACTGGACACTTACACATGATTAAACCAGTCGACTGTATTGTATATGTTACCACAATAAAAATCCTCGACGTATTGTAAGTTTCTAGTTCGTCACTGCTGAACGTTTAGATCCTCATGTGTTTGATTTCTCACAGCAGGACAGAGCTTCAGCAGTGCTTTGCCCACCTTCCCCCCATCCTATATTTGTGCTGTTCGTTTGGGTGAGGGGCGGTGGCGTTTATTGTGGCGGTTTTTATCCTTTCTAATTATAACATCTTGCACGTGCCTCTTCTGGATTTCATCTTGTCCTCACAGTTCTAACTTATCATGTTCATTTTATTCTTTCCTCCAGAGTCACAATTCAGTGCAATTCAGTGCAAGGTTTGAGCACTGTTGGGATTTTAGAAGTGGATTTGTCTAGAGTTGCGTATTCAGTGTTTTTCCAGGAAAATCTCAGGAGCGTTTGCCATTCAATCCAATAGACTCCTACTACAGACGTTTCTGTTTCTTTATTGTAATGGCTTATCTGCGTGGCTCTTTTCCTCAGCAGACACAAACTCCTACTGGGAGGCTTAGGTCTGTTCTTTTTTGTGTCCCCAGCACTTTGCCCAGTGCTGGAGACAAAGAATCGATATTTCTCAAATGAGAGAACACTAATTCTCATTCTTTTTTATTTTGAGCTTTTGTGAAGATGGATGCCATATTATATTTCACTACCTTTGTTCATTTGTTTTATAATTTATGAATTTCTAGAACACATTATAAAAAAGAAAGAGTTTCATATTGAGATATAAAATGGGCTCTTACTAACACCTTAATATTCTTGGTCACGTTTGTCTAGATTTCCTCAAATGCTATTAGTTTACATGCTCCATTTAAAAAAACTTCATAATTTTATGTATTTTCTGAAACCTGGATACAATTTGTTTTTACCTTTGCAAATTTCACCCTTTAATAACATCATATTACATTTATATGAAAGCACTTAAAAAATTTAAGTACTGCTTGACAAAAGCCCCAGAAAGTAGAAAGAAGTGTGTGTGTGTGTGTGTGTGTGTGTGTGTGTGTGTGTGTGTGTGTGTTTCCTAATTTTCTCAGAAGACATGTGAGCTGGAACAAGGCAGGAACTATGATCCCACTTTACAGGTGAGGGTGCAGACACCACCCAGATAAGTGACTCTCAAGGTCACCCAGCTATTTAGCAGCAGAATCAAGGAGCTTACACCTCTCTGCCACGTAGGATGCTGCAAAGCAAAGAGCCACCGATCAGGTGGCCCTTGTCGGCGCCCACTGACCTGGTCTGACACATTGTACCAGTCGTAATCAAAGGAATGGACATTCTTGCTCTGAGAAAACGACAGGATGAACAGGTTGTAGCAGGCTCGGGAGGCGTAGAGCAGGATGACGGTCACACCGACGGCAGTCACCTGACACACAGAGGAGCCCTGGAAGAGGAGGAGCCATGAGCGGGGCGCCCGTTCCGGGCCCAGGACCCCAGCCCCCTCCCAGAACACGGGCTGTGTTCGGACCTGCTAAAGCTTCGATCTCAGAGGCACTGCCGTCTCCTCCAAGTTTCTCCTCCACCCTCAGACCTCCAGCCCAACTGCAAACCTCACCTCACACCACACCCACCCCAAACGTCAAATTATCTTCATAGAGATGCTTCAAAACCTGGGACTTGATCTGGAGATGCCTGAAAACAGGAGCCATTTGCCTAAGGCCTAGGTTTGGAAGAACAAGGAAGTCAGATGTCTTATTTGGTTAAATCTCTAAACGCCGCTGGCTCAGCTCCAAGGACCCTCTCAGTTTATGAGCCCAGCGCCCGGCCCCTGGCTTGAGGACAACAAAACCACCTCAGAGGGATGGCAGCTGGCAGACAGTGCTGCTGTGGACAGTGGCTCTGGGCGGTGAGCACTTCCTCAAGACCCAGCATCCTCTAGGCGGGAGTGCTGGAGTCCCCATGTGACTCAGGGCTTGCAATTCTGTGAAAATGCATCATCTGTGCCCCCATTTACGAAGCTATCAATTTCCAAAAGTCTGTTCAGATGACCCCTGGCTAGAAACGGTTAATTAAAAACCTGACATCGATTTTTGAGTTTTGTGTTTGAAAGTCATTAACTAAATCTAAGCTAGTGTTTTATTTTGCCAGTGGTAGTTTATTAGCTTGTTTGCCATAGGGGTCATCTAAACGGCACTTTGACAATCTAAAATGTGACCCCTCCTATAAAAATCACAATCCTGTCTTTAAAAAGCCTTCGCTAGCCCTTATGCATGAGACACTATAAATAAATAATAAAGTCAGGCAAAGTGACGTGTAAAATTTGCCGACATTTCTCAATCAGAAAACGACGCTGCCACAGTAACTTCTGGGATTCTGCAAGAGTTCAGTCACATCACAGGACACCCTGATGAAGGCTTTGTATTTTTGAAGTTGGAGGCGCAGACTTTAATCTACTGATCACTCCTGAAGACACAGGATCGTGGAAGGCATGGCTGCTCGTCTTCAGACCAAAGATGTTACAGCCACACGGGCTGCGAGGCAAGGAAGGCAGGGGGGTGCCCCGGGGCACAGCAACACTGAATTTCCAAAGCAGAGGAACTGTGAAATCACTCAACTGCTTTACACATGAGAAAACCCAGGCTCTGTGGGGTGACAGGCTGGTGGGCCTGGGGTCCTGCGGCCAGCCAGAGCCCAGGCCGTCTCTCCTGACCTCCACTCACCACCAGGCTTCTCAGTGAAGGAGAGTCGGGGACCAGGCTGGTGAGGGGCACCTCAGAACCCCTGCTCCAGGCAGCGGACCTGCCCCTCTTGGTTTTTGTTTTTGTTTTTTTTTGCGGTACGCGGGCCTCTCACGGTTGTGGCCTCTCCCGTGGCGGAGCACGGGCTCCGGACGCGCAGGCTCAGCTGCCACGGCTCACGGGCCCAGCCGCTCTGCGGCATGTGGGATCCTCCCGGACTGGGGCACGAACCCGTGTCCCCTCCATCGGCA